TGTGCACCAGCCACCCGGCTTGGTCACTTAAAAGACCCAATGTAGGTACGGTGGCCACCACTTAAACATTTAGCCTTTGCCAGCAGGTCCCACCACTCTTTGCTGTTCTATGTAAAGCAGGAGGCAAAAGCATCTTGCACAACAGATGCTACCTGGTGGCAGGGGCTGGTCACTGTAGCCATTGACTTTGCTGCTTGAATCCCCCTCCTGAAATCCACCCCTCCCTTCCGCCTCCTTGGCAGGACCTGCCTGTCCCCCACGCACTGCAAACATTGCTAGATCATCTCTGCTTCTGTTCAGCTGAGCCCCCTGCAAGGCTCTGACTCTTTCTCCCACCCCTGTTGACTGCTGTAGACCCCCTTTCGGTCTGTCATCTCTGTTCATGGGGGGGGTGTTCCCTTCTCTCTTTGTCCTTCTGATCTGTCACAAAATGCTGCTCCCCAGTGGATGTCACCAGTGCACAGTTATCTTAAAGGGACAGCATCTACCCCACTGTCTCTGGCCTTCAAACTATTGGTTTTATCCATGGTTTCTTTAGATCATTCTGCTTCTTTAAGGGCCAATTCACTGGGGCTGTGGGTTTCCCTATATTTTTAGACGGCACTAGCCTTCTGGGGTCTTGGAGTGTTAATTTTCTTATGGGGAGATTCTCCAGTGGCAGCAGCAGCCCATGTAGGTGTATCGAAGGTGGCTGTGTCATCCAGATCCCTGTCTGAGAGCCTGTCTGTGCCACAAAGCCCACCAGGTCCAGGGACCAACCTACAGCATGGCTCCAGCTTGTCATTGTAGAATTGATCAACAGGGTCTCTAAGCCATGCTACTGCCTAGCTCTGTCCTAGCAACGCAGGTAAAGTGCAGTTAGGTCCCCTCTATACTGAGATGGAGCTAAGTCAGGAGACATCCCTGTCGTAACTAGGTCCCCCAGTATGGCTGGGCCCTTTGCCAGGAGACTGGTGGCTCTCTGGAAGTATCTGAGACCATGTCATTTTCTTGGTGCTGCACCAAGCAAGGACCCCCTTGTATATACTCCTGTCCCATTTAAGGGTGTGGTTCCTGGCTGGAAGCTCATGTCCCAAGGTTGAAGCTGGGAGAAAGCGCGGAGCTTGCCTTTCTCTTTGTAACTCTTTCGTTAGTTAATTAACCTCTTGGTTATTTGTGCAATATTCTCTATTTTAAATTATACTGCATCTCCTGGGAGCATTTTATAGCTGGGGCAAAAGAAAGATTCTAACAGCTGTTAGTTTTGTAATGACAACTTTCTCCTGAACCTTTTACAGACTTGCAGTTAACAGAAATTAAAGGAATTCTACAGAATCAGCTGCCTGCGTTGGGTTGTCTTTATTTCCACCACCTACAGGGCCATGTGTCGTCATCCTTCTGAAATGGGTCTGGGTGTGGTTTGCTGCCCAGTAGCAGCCCCTGCTTTGGGCATGAGTTTAGTTTGGGGGCAGGTGGACAGTCCATTCAGAGCAATTTTCCAATTTGTCAAGGTTGTTTTTAATTGTGAGTAGACGACATACACTTTCCTTCGTCCTTCTCTTGCTCCTAAAGTATTTAAAGAACCTCTTTTCTCATTGCCTGTTATGTCCCTTGCTTGGTGCAACTCATTCTGTGCCTTAGCCTTTCTGAATTTGTCCCTACATGCTTGTGCTATTGTTTTGGACTCCTCCTTAGCAATTTGTCTGTTTCCAATTTTTATAGGATTCCTTTTTGATTTTCAGGTCATGAGAGTTCCTTTGAGAGCCATATTGGCCTCTTACTATTCTTCCTATCTTTCCTTCGCATCAAGAGAGGTTGCAGTTGTGTATTTAATATTGTCTCCGTGAGAAACTGCCAGCTCCCCTAAACTCCTTTTTCCCTTAGATTGTCTACCTACCAGTTCTCTGAGTTTGTTAATCAGATTTGTTACCAAGTCTTCCCTGTCAGTCAGAATCAAGTCTAAATTGGCTCTCCCCTTGGTTACTTCCTCCACTTTCTGAAAGTGTGTGGTCCGCCCAACCACATCCAAGAACTTACTGGAAATTGTTTTGCCATGTTACTTTTCCAACACATGCCTGGGTAGTTAGTTTCCTGTTACTGCCAGGTCTTGTGTTTTGGATATTTCTGTGACTTGACTTATCCACCCCCCCTCCTCCTGTTTTGGTGGTCTATAGTAGACCCTTACCGTGACATTCCTATTGTTTGCCCCTTTTATCTGTACCCAGAGACTCTCAACTGGTCTGCCTCTCACCTCCTCCTGGACCTTAGAACAAGTGTGTATATATTGATATATAATGCCATACTGCCTTTCTCCTGCCTGCCCTTTCGGAACAAGTTGTACCCCTCTATACCATTATTCCAGTCATGACACTTATCCCACCAAGTCTCTGTGATGGCAATTAAGTGATAATTTAGCTTCCAGTTCCTCCTGTTGATTCCACTTACTCCTTTTGTTTGTATATAGATGACTACGATCAGCAGATTTTTTTTCCCACTGATTTCCCTCTTGTTGCTCCTAAGACCCTATGTAAATTTACATGTCTCCCCCAGCATGGAGGAGCCAACTTCTCTGCTTACTCTCTCCTCTCAGTTCGGGTGTTCTCTGGAGGTGCCATCACTAGAGATAACTTGGGAAGGTGGCCAGACGCTATTCTATGTTTCCCCACTTCAGCAAGGTGCCCAGCTACAAAGGAAACAGCACAAACACTGTTAGGTTTCTTCAGACCATTCCGTTTGTTTGAATGAGTAAAATCCCTAATGAAGGTGTGAGATGGAACAACCTCCCAATCCTCCCCTGCAGACCAGCCATCCTCTGCATAAGGCACAGGGAGGAGGAGAGGTGGGGGGTGTGTATTTAAGGATAGACTGGAAACCAAGCGTAACATTAAAATATATGTAAGCATTTTGGAAGCAATCTGTCCCTTTTATTTGGGGAGACCGTGACATGGTCTTTCTCAGGAGTTTGCCAGCCATGGGTGCCAACTGACTTCTTCAATGGAAGGCCTCAGGATCATGTCTGGCTCCAAGAGGCTTTTCAGGAGATCCTGGCATTCATCGGAGATCTCCAGGTGCCCCGGAACGGAGACCCCTTTCTGCTGGTGGCACAGCATCTTGGGGATGTCTGTGTCGTCAAAGGGGAGGCTAGCGCACAGCATAACGTAGAGAATGACGCCCATGCTCCAGATGTCCCCTTTCCGACTGTCATGGGGCACGCCCTGGAGCACCTCTGGCGCAGCGTAGGCAGTGCTGCCGCAGAACGTCTGGCTCAGCTCCTTCCGATTCTTTGGGAGCAACTTGGCAAATCCAAAGTCCGTCAGCTTCAAGTTAAAGCCTTGCAGCAAGGCATTCTCACACTTTAGGTCCCGGTGCGCCACGCCGCAACTGTGGCAGTAGCGGATCGCGTCTACCAGCTGGCGGAAGAGCACCTTGGCACGGCTCTCGGGCAAAGGACCTCCATGCAGAACGCAGTCAAAAACGTCCCCATCTTCTGCCAGCTCCATCACCAAGTAGATCTTCCCGTCGGCGGACTCCAGCATCTCGTACACCCGGATGATGTTCTTGTGATCCAGGCGTCTGACGATCTGGAGCTCTCGAGGCAGGAATCTCTGGATAAATTCTGGAGAGAGAGAAGACCAGATTCGTTCAAGGCCTGGGTAATCTCAAGGGGACCGCTAGCTACCGAGAAGAGTGTGCATCATCTTTCATGGATGCAGTGCCTGGGACTGTTGGCCATTCAGCGGAGGCTGCGTTGTAAAGGGGGGCAGGGGCCCTGTTTGTCACAAACTGGGGCTGAAAGGAGGAGCTTTCCCATTCTAAACCCTGGGAACTTGGCTGGTTGTAAAGTGGTCACAGGGTCAGCACTGTAACTTATTTACTTTCAGTTGGCTTCATAGATCTTAGGGCTAGAAGGCATCATTCCGATCCTCTCGACCAACCTCCTGCATAGTGATTTCACACCTGATTCCTGCATCCAGCCTCATCTCTTGTAGCTGAACTACAGCAGATCTTTCAACTGATTAACGAATGACAACAACAAACCCGTAGAACTTATGCCCCCTTAGCAGCTTTCTGCTTTCCACAGAGAGAGCACCATTTTAATGGTTTTACTCTGCTTTGCGAGGAGATGTAGTTGTTAGAATCTTATCTGATTGTGGCTTTAGTCTAGGACACAGATCTGGCCAAGTAAACACCATTATGTGCTATAGGAAGTGATCTGAAAGGCACTGCGGTTACCCCAACTTACGAGCCAGGTGATCTGGCTGCAGGAGGATCTGGGCTGAATTCTTGTACACGTGTTCTACAAGGAAAACTGAGCCATCTAAGTGAATCTGGCCCCCTTTTCATCCATTAAGCTACTGCACCACCCACCAGTTGGTGGGAAGATGAAGAGTGGGAAGTCTGTGAAACACTGGTAGCAGACCCTCTAAGTGAATTAGAGGCAAGAGGGAAAGTCCCCTCCCTTGGAGGAGTTCTGGAGAGACCAGCTTCCCCTTGGAACCCACTTCCTAGTCAACCTTTTATTTTAGTTTAATGCATCCAGTAGGGAAACCTGAAATGTGTGTTTTTAGGGTTGTGGGTTACAAATGAGAAGTTTGTGGCAAGTCGCCATTTCTCCACTGATGAGATAATGTGGAAGATGATGCGAGAAGATTCTCATGGTACTTCTCAGGTAAGTTTTCCCCTCCAGAGGGTTTTTCTGCATAAGGGGGAAAGAAGGCCCTAAGCCGGGGTGGGCAAACTTTTTGGCCTGAGGGCCACATCTGGGTATGGAAATTATGTGGTGAGCCATGAAGGCTCATAAAATTGGGGGTTGGTGTGTGGGAGGGGGTGAAGGCTCTGGGGTGGGGCCAGAAATGAGTTCAGGGTGCGGGAGGCAGCTCTGGGCTGGGGCAGGGGGTTGGGGTGCTGGCTCTGGCTGGGGGTGTGGGCTGGTGATGAGGGGTTAGGGGTGCAGAAGGGTGCTCCAGGCTGGGATCGTGGGGATCAGGGTTGGGGCACAGGAGGGGGACAGGGGTGCAGGCTCCAGATGGCGCTTACCTCAAGCAGCTCCTGGAAGCAGCGGCATGTCCGCTCTCTGACTCCTAGGCAGAGGCATGGCCAGGCAGCTCTGCGCTCTGCCCCATCCGCAGGCGCTGCCCCTGCAGCTCCCATTGGCCGTGGTTCCCCGGCAATGGGAACTGTGGAGGCAGCACTTGGGGCAGGGGCAGCGTGTGAAGCCCCCTGGCTACCTCTACATGAGAACTGGAGGGGGGGACATGCTGCTGCTTCTGGGAGTTCCACAGTCACAGCATGCACTCTCCGGCTGGAGCTCGAGGGCTGGATTAAAACATCTGCAGTACCAGATGTGGCCCCCGGGCTGTAGTTTGCCCACCTCTGCCCTAAGCAAAGCAGTGGAGATACTTGATACTATGTGCAGTTAAGTGCGCTGATATCTTGATGCCTGGCAAACTACAAGAAGACTAGTTCAAACCGGAATTATTCTGGGAAGTTCTCTAGCCTGTGTTCCAGAGAAGGTCATAAATTCTAAGGCCAGAAGGGACCATTGTGATCATCTAGTCTGATATCGTGTATGGTACAGGCCAGAGAACTTCCTCAAAATAATTCCTAGAGCAGATCTTTCAGAAAACATCCAATCTTGATGTAAAAACAGTCAGTGATGGAGAATCCACCGTGACCCTGGGCAAGTTGTGCTATTGGTTAATTACTCTGTTAAACAAGTAAGCCTTATTTCCGATCTAAATTCGTCTAGCTTCAACTTCCAGCCCTTGGATCATGTTAGACCTTTCTCGGATAGACTGAAGGAGCCCGTTATTATTAAATATTTGCTCCCCATATAGGTACTTATAGACTGTTATCAAGTCACCCCTTAACCTTCTTTTTGTTAAACTAACTGGATTGAGCTTAGAGTCTATCACTAGGCCGGTTTTCTAATTATTTAATCATTCTCATGGCTGTTCTCTGAACCCTCTCCAATTTATCAACATCCTTCTGGAACTGTGGGTGCCAGACCTGGCCACAGCATTCCAGCAGCGGTTGCACCAGTGCCAAATACAAAGGTAAAATAACTTCCCTACTCTTACTCGAGAGTCCCCTGTTTTATGCATCCCAGGATCATATCAGCTCTTTCGGCAACAGCATCACACTGGGAGCTCATGTTCAGCGGATTATCCCCCGTGACTCCTAGGTCACACTGGATGATCAGGGTGGTCCCTTTTGGCCTTAGAATCTATGAATATTCCCCAACCATCTAACCCAGAACCCTCTCCCAGAGCTGCCTCTTACCTTCCGGGCCCCCCATCTTATCAATAATTTTAACTGCCACTTTCTGCTGGTGCTTTTTTGAGAAGGCCTCTTTCACTTTTGAGTACGTCCCCTCCCCAATGGTCTTGCCCAGCTGGTAGCCATTGGAGAATAAAAACTCCTCCATCTCCTCTCTGAATTTTGGACTGGTCATTCTCTCAGGTCATCATGTAGATCCTGGGAGATAACATGTCTGTGCTCTGCTTCTCTCCCTAACCAGGGCCTGCAAGGGTTGCAGCCCTGGACACTAGATCATTTTCCTGCCTAGACAAAGTCCCGTGATGACGGGGGCAGCTGGGGTGGGACATTTTAAAACTTTCAGCCCCTATTATGATGTAACCTTGTGTTGCATAGGCCAAAGGGGTTGGATTTGCACCAATCGGGGGGGGGAAGCACCCCAAATGGGCAGTTACTTAACCTGCCCACAACCTTGCACTGAGTCACTCCAGGCGCAGTGATGGGATAAATCTCCAGAGACCTCTTGGTGGGGATCGTGGGTAAGGGGCTCCTATAGCATAGAGTTACACAGGCTTTGGCATAATGAACAGACCCCAAATATTCCCCAGTCTGCTGCTGTATTATGACTAAATGTGCAGATCTGACCAAGTTTTCAAGACTGGATCCAGGTGAATTTGAGGGTGGGAGAGGGAGGGTCCAGACCAGACCTCAAATGAATACAAGGGCTGGGATGTCTGTTTGTATTGCATAGTGCTTAACAATACTACCTAGCTCTCATCTAGCACTTTTCATCCATAGACCTCAAAGCGCTTTACAAAGGTCAGTATAATTAACGTCATTTTACAGATGGGGAAACTGAGGCGGAAAGAGGGAAGTGACTTGTCCAAGGTCACCCAGCAACCCAGTGGCAGAACCAAGAATTTAACTCAGGCCTTCTGAGACCCAGTCCAGTGTTCTAGCCAATAGGCAACACTGCTTCCTTTCTTTAGGGAGCCTTTGTCCTGGGCATTGCACAGACATGGAACAAGTGACAGTCCCCGTCTCAAAGAGCTCACAACCTGAGTCTCTGATCAGATGGACCTGGTTGGTCAAACAAATTGGCAGGATGGCTTTATTTGTTTAGTTTCAGTTTACAGGACAGGGTAGGAGTCCAGTGTGAGGGGCTACCCCAGATCTCCCTCGAAACCCCACGTTGTATCCCGATGGGGATCAGCTTCCAGGAGGGAGCGAAGATCAACCCCAAATACATCTCTGATCTGGGCACGGTCGAGGAAGGGCCCTTCTCGTCATGAGACCTGGAGCCTTTTGGGGAAAACCTGGGGCCGGCAGAGACAGTTCCTCTGTTCACCTTTACAGCATGGTGGTGCTTTGACCCGAGTCTAGCCCTAGATGAGAACTAGGTCAGTCTATTGCTCTGATACTGCTGCCCCTCATGCTGACCAGTATTGTCTCATGGTTTCCTTGTGCTCCCCCATCTGTCATTTCTCATGTTATACTTAGATTGTAAGCTCGGTGAGGCAGGGCCTAGCTTTTTGTTCTGTAATTGTACAGCACCTCGCACACGGTCCAGGACTGGGGCTCCTAGCTGCCACTGCAGTCCAAATAATAAATCATAAGTAAGAAGGCCTGGGCCTGAGTCTCGTGCCTGTGAGAAGGGAGAAGGTCGTACCCTGCCACTCACAGGTTGCATTGTGATGTCAGAGCAGCCCTTCCGTGTCACAGTGTAACAGCCTTCGTGCCTCCCACTGGCCCCCGTCACATCTTGCCCTTTGCACTAGGCACTGCAGGCTGCCAGGTTTATTCTTGGGAACCCTCTTGAGCCTTCAAGAGGTGAGCGTAGGCCAGAGAAGGGTGCAGCAGCTTGGGGCGGGGGTGGGCCTGAAATTGTGGGCTCACCGGGCCCAGTCACGCAGGTGCTGACCTTGGTCCTCCTTTTCCTTAGACAGGTCTGGGGCTAGGACATGAGCTCCCAGGAGACCCCACAAGCTCGGAGATTTCCCATAGAGGCAGGAGATTCTCCCAGCCTGGTAGCTGCTCCAGAGACCCAAGAGCCAGTTGCCACTGAGCACACTGCAGCAAGGTAAGGGCAGCTGCAGCAGCTGTCAGCAAATGAGTCAGCTGATGCCCAGTGCTTGGGGAGGAAGGCAGACATCTTCCAGAGTTATACAGTGGGGAGTGGGGAGCTTACTTCCTGACCCCAGTTAGCAATCATGTTATGCTCTGAAGCATGAGAACTGATGCACTTTCTAAATCTTCCTCCTGATGCTGTAATGGCAGCTGCTGTGCTTAGATGTTGCTATGAACAGCCCCCCTTTGGGATGGTCTGGCCCCCTGCTTCCATGTCCTACAGCAGAAAATTCCCCCAGGAAAGTGAAGCTTTCAAGCCTTAGAAATAGGTGTGTTGCCCCTCTAATCTTTCCAAGTCCCCCTTTGTGCCTGTTTTACAGGGCGGTGTGAATAGGAGCCGTGGTCCCTTTTCTCCCCCTTTCACTAATCTCTGCCCCTCCTCCAGGTCTCCCTGCCTCTTCTTGCCATGCTGCATCCCTGCCAGGGCTGGCTCACCAGGCTGTTCTGCCCAAAACACACTGGGCTTCTGTAAAGGGCCAGGGATGAGCCCAGAGGGCTGCGGCCTTGCAGGGCTGCGTTCAGGAGCCAGTGGAACTGCACCCCCTTTTCACCAGGCCCACCCTGGCCTGTGAGCTGTACAAATCAGGCTTTGGGGGACAATGAAAGCCTCTGCTGTAGTCATCCCGCCCCAGTTCAGTGTCACAGCGAGTTCCTCGCTCTGTGCCCGAAGGAAAGCGAAGGAAACCTGCTTCGCACAACACCTGCTCCCTGTGGTGGTTAGGATGGCTGCATTCTGGGGCTGCAGCACGGCCTGGCTTGGAACATGCAGCCAAACTTGGAGCCTGTTGGTCGGAAGAGTTTGTTGCCATCTGATTTGGCCCCAGGGATGACTTTAGGCAACTGTGGGCTGAATCCTGTACAATGGGGCTGAGGCAGGGGCCCCAAGTAAAGTTAAAATGAGGAAACTGGTTTGCGGCCTCCATTCCGTCAGAGCAAAGGCTGGGGGTCAGACTCGCATCTGTTGAGGCCAAGGCAGCTCCCTGTAACTAACTCCAAGCCTGACCTCCCTGGGCTGTAACAGGGCTGTACCCTCTAGCTCTCCCTAGGGGTGCAAGCCTTGTACCTCAAGGCTTGCTTGCTGCTGCTCACTCCATTCTGATGCAATTTCTCGCCCTGACTCTCCCCTTGTTATAGCTGATCGGACAAGGGCAAAATCAAACCTACCCCCTGCTGTAACTGTCGAGTCTGAGGGAATCAGGGCTACAATACATTGGCCTCTATAGGCCGCAGCAAGCGGAGAGTTGCAAGGAGGAGCAGGCTGAAGATGCTCAGCTAGAGTGAGGAGCAGAGCGGGGAACAAATTGGGCAGGGGCTGCTGGGTTAGTGACGGGGGTATGTGGGCCAGAGGGTCCATTTATAAAGAGAGCTGGGTGCAGGTCCATTTATAAAGAGAGCTGGGTGCAGAACTGAGTTTCTGGTTTGCCGGTAATTCCACAAAGTAAAAAAAAAAGTTTGGGGTCAAGCAAGATGTTTTGTTTTGATGTTGACCCTGTTTTACCAGTTGTGATCATTTAAAATTACAGGACATTTTGAAGTGAAAAGTGGGTTCAAATGGAAAAGTTTAAACATTGCATTTAGAAAATGTCAAAACAAAACACCGGGTTTGTCTGAATTTGTTTAGATTTCTTCCCACCCAGGCAACAGGGCGAAATCCACAGGGAGTCACAAAATGGTTCAGGGTCACAGGAGCAGCATTTAGCACCAAAAAAGGTTGTGCAATTTTTTGCCCGGCTCAGTCTATAAACCTAACAGACTGGTCATGAACGGACCCCTCGTCTCTCCTGGCCAGATCTTCAGTCACCAGACAACGACCAATACTGTAATTAGCATCCCATAGCTACGAAAACAGGCAGTTCCACCTGGACCCTTAACACAGCTTTGGCTGTACTGTGCACTTTGCCTCTTACTAGTTGTTTATATACTGAGCACATGGGCCAAGTTGGGCAGTTCCGGGCTGAGAGACCATGCTCAGATCACCGCCTGGAAGAGGCACTCTCGTTGCTGCCCAGCGCCGGCCTTCTCCTACTGATTGCCAACCGTCAGGGCTTGGCCGCAACCCCTTGGTCATTCTCTTCAGGCACATGGGACGTAGATCCTGCACAGAGACCATCTAGGGCTGACTTCGGCATTCAGGGCCCTTGTTAAGGGGAGTGTTGGGCGGGGAAGGGGGTTGGTTGGTCCTTTTTCTGCCAAAAGATTCCTAAGGCAGAAAATTCCAGAGTGGCCTTCAATTCCTGCTCCAGGCTGCTAGCAGCTGACAGAGAAGCTGATGGGCGGGGCGGGGGGGTGGTGGTGAAATGTGTGTCCCTAAATCTTCCCTCCCTGCATAAAGCTGGAGGAGGACGAGCACTGATGGACCCTTTGTGGAGTATGTTCAACTAGCCAGATGCCTTCTGATCCCTGGGCAGCTGGCCTAGGGCTCTTGAGATCTGCACCCTTCATGGTCGGTGAATATGCCACTATTAGACCCTGCACCTGTGATGCTGAGGGGCTCAATCTGTGGCTTTGCACCGTGCTCCTGGGAAGCTGGACTAACCCCCCTCTCTCGTTGTGCAGGCAGCTGAGAAGATGCCCCGGATGCCACTGCCTGACCCTGCCCAACGTTCCCATTGACGTTTACATTGCCATGGGCGGGAACGGGAGGCCACGGACCACCTAACGGTTCCCCTGAGTTGGGCTCGAGTGCTGAGGCCGCCGAGCTGGTCACCCGAAACACCCTGACAGCTGGAGAACCGCAAAGGACGCCGCCGCCACACAAAACAGTGACGCACATTTTAATAAAAGGACATCTTAGAATGTTCCTTTGCTCGCTGTGCTGCGCCCGGAGAGCAGGAGTTCTCCCATCTTCCTATGGGATCGCCTGGGCCCCCTCACTGGCAGAGGGGTCACAGCAAAACAAGCCATTCGGGCCGGGTTTGCAGAATGGGGTCACTGCATTACCCCTCAGCCCAGCAGGGGGTGCTGAGGTCCTAGCTCACTGAAGGGGGTCTTGAATGAAGTGGGGTCAGTGCTCTGCCTAGGTGTATTGCCCTCCCCCTGGAGTGTCTCTCTCCCCTCCCAGCACTAGCGGTGGGGTGCAAGGGAGACCTGCCTACTCTGACTCTTAGCCTCAGGCTCCGGCTTTCCCCATCCCTGTCCAGCTGACGTGCTCTGGCTTGCCTGGCACGAGACTCCGCAGCCCGGGGGAAAGCAGAGAGCATCAGCTCCTTGCCTCCCAGCTCCCGCCCCGCCCCTCCAGTCGCAAGGCCAGGTTTGGCTGGGTGGCAGCAGCAGCCGCCTCCTCCATCCCTGAGTCTGACCCACCCCCTACCAGTTGGTGCGGGGAGGCTAACTTGGTTTTTGTTGGAGGGCCTGATTTGGAGATGACACCTTTTTGGAGGGGATTGATTTAGGGGAGGGAAGGAGGCTGGATGTGGGAGGAGGTTAGGGTGGGGAACGAGTGATGGGGTGGGGTTGATTTTGGAGAAGGGGAGCATGGATTGTGTAGGGGCCAAATAGTAGCTGGATTGCGTGGTGAGCTGTGCAGGGCGGGGACCCTCCCCAAATCATCTCCACAGGGGCACTGCCAAACTAGCTTCAGTATCCAGGGCGGGAAGAGCGAGGCAGAGGGGGCCCTGGTGCTAAGTGTATGTCCTATGCAAACTGCTTCTCTTAGGCTTTTTCGTGGGCCACAGCAGGCAGATCTGGCTGCTGGTAATAGGTGGAGGCGAGAGTGCGGGTAGGGAGGGGGCAGCAGCTGGGTCACACAGCCCAGCTTGTTCTGGGCAGGAGACGTGCTAGCATGGCCTTTCCTTTAAGGTGGCATGATCACATGCCTCCAAAGTCACATGACTTGGCTAAGAGGGTGCACTCTGGGTGCTGTGCCATGCCTCCATCCTTGGAAAGCTTGAGGCCAAAGGGGAGAGCAGATCTGCCCCTCTGGGACCCAGCTGCTTCTCGCACAGCCCAGCAAGGTTCTCCCTCCCTGCTCTGGCCCTGATGCATTTGAGTAACTCCAAACAGTTGATTAAAGGGTACCTGTGAGTGGCTGGAGCAGAGAGGATCCCATTCCTCCACCCCAGGCTGGGCTTAGTGAAACACCCAGGGTTGGAGCCAGCCCAGGTGCTGGCCAAGCTGACATGGGCTCTTTTTCCCCATGATCTTGGCTTGTATTTAATTTTGTAGAAACAACCAATTGGGCACAAAGAGCAGAGCAAATCCAGCTGCCTCCACCCAGCGGCTTGCAGGCTCACTGCAGAAAGGGTCCCCTGCAATGGGCATTGCCCTCAGTCCTCGCCTTTCCCAGCTAAGAGTCACCACTGGGCCACTCTTGGGGAGGCCCCTTGCCTCTGTTCTCTAACCTCAGTTGCCTTTCCAGGCTGTGTGCACCTGAGCCAGCTGCGCAGGAAGTTGCTACCTCAGCTCCTGGAGCATTTGTCGCAGGTAACAGAACTTGCTCTGCGTCGCTTTCACAGAGATGCTGGAAAGTGTGTGGTCACTGGATTTCCCCGGGCCCTACTAGCCTGGAACTAACACTGATCTTCTGTACTCGGCCACAATAAAACTTTGCTTTTAAGCCCTGTGTGTTAGTCCAATCAGCTGTGAGAGTTCACTGTGTTCTGGGCTCTCCTAAGAGACGACTGGCCACAGTCCCAGCTGGCTCTGTGTATGTGTGACAGGTTGGGTCACAGAAACCCCCTTGGGACTGCCACCTGATGTGTGGAGACTACCTCTGAGCCCGTTTTCCCTGCCAGCTTGGGACTTCAGCACCCTGCCTTGTTGAGCCAGACACACTAGCCTGCTGCAAACACAAACCCAGGTCTGAACCACGTCCCCCAAAAGCTACAGCCTTAACTGAAAACAGCTTAAGAAGTGCTCCTGTCTCCAGCACCCAGATACCCAGCTCCCAAATCTGTCTTACTCTGTATAAAGCTTACACAGGGTAAACTCATAAATTGTCCACCCTCTATAACACTGACAGAGAGATATGCATAACTGTTTGCTCCCCCAGCTATTAATTACTTGCTCTGGGTTAATTAATAAGCAAAAAGTGATTTTATTAAGTATAAAAAGTAGGATTTAAGTGTTTCCAAGTAATAACAGACAGAACAAAGTAAATTACCAAGCAAAATAAAACAAAAACACACAAGTCTAAGACTAATACAGTAAGAAACTGATCACAGATGAAATCTCACCCTCAGAGATGTTCCAATAAGCTTCTTTCACAGGCTAGACTCCTTTCTAGTCTGGGCCTCATCCTTTCCCCTGGTACAGTCCTTGTTCCAGCTCAGATGGTAGCTAGGGGATTTCTCATGCCTGCAGCCCCCTTTGTTCTGCTCCATCCCCTTATATACCTTTGGCACAAGGCGGGAATCTTTTGTCTCTTTGAGTCCCCACCCCTTCTAAATGGAAAAGCACCAGGTTTAAGATGGACTTCAGTACCAGGTGACATGGTCACATGTCCTGTGAGACCCCAAGCCTTCACTCACATCTCATCAGAGGAAGGCTTGCAAGTAAACAGAGCCATCTACAGTCAATTGTCCTAGTTGATGGGAGCCATCAAGATTCTAAACCGCCATTAATGGCCCACAATTTGCGTAACTATAATAGGACCTCAGAGTTATATTTTGTATTCCTAGTTTCAGATACAAGAATGATACATTCGTACAAATTGGATGACCGTGCTCAGTAGATTATAAGCTTTGTAATGATACCTTACAAGAGACCTTTTGCATGAAGCATATTCCAGTTACGTTATATTCACACTTATTAGCATATTTTTATAAAATCATATGGAGTGCAACGTCACAGTATATCTGTGGCATTTCCGCTCTGCTACCTTCTGTAGAGCCATGCCCTGTGCCGGCTGCCCTTTGACACTTAGGAACTAAGGCATGGAACCTATCCCTTCCTGCCAAATGTGAAATCTTTATTTTTGTTCTTCGTTCCCCTGAACAAGCTGGTTTTGGAAAATGGTTGAAGCAAATGTGTACCTGGGACGTGTCTTTGCTTTAATCCAGGGTTAGCCAGTGTTCGGAATTTTAATGTTTGATCTTCCATACACAAGGGGGTCTGCTTCTCTCCTGCCTTGCGCGTGAGATAGACTCTTACAGCTGTGCAAAATGGGTGTAACTAGCATTCTGATTTGGAATCAGTTAAGTGACATATTGCAGGTGAAAGGCAGGGGGGAATCAGGACCTTGGACAACCCACTGTTCTTGACCTAAGAAACTTCCAGTGAAGATAATAAACAGCAGTGACAAAAGTAGACTGTACATATGGAACTACCGAACCATTCTTCTCAAGGAACAATCATAGTTTCTCAGTATTTCTGGCTGAGGCTTTGCTCCTGTTCCTCTAATTCCTTCACTGCCAATCCCACCTTTGTCCATTGATCAGCAGGTTATTTAACTGGGGACCTCTCTGTGTGTTTGCATTGTGATAAGAACAGGCTGCTTGGTCTCCACAATCTGAAGAAAGAGGTGAGTAAGAGAAGAGAGGCCAATCAGCCCCTAGCTCACAGACGACCAGCCAGAGCTTCATGGGAGGGGATGTTGACTTGTGTTTGAGCAGTGTATTGGTAAAGTTTGCTGGTGCACATGCCAGCTTGCAAGCTGGGATGTGTAGCTGACCAGTTCTGCATGGCCTGGTTGGCGTACAGTACAGCCAGACGATGCCACCAAGGTGGGGCTGGGGATGTCATGCTGCCCCAGAACCGTAAGCTCGTCCTCTGAGACAACCAGTCTGTCATTGATTAAGGATGTCTGGCCAGGGGAACTCTACATTGTTATCGCTGCATAGAGACCATGCTCCTCTCTTAGCAAAGGAGGATGCAAAAACCGGAGTGACTAGGTGGCACCTGGGCCCCCAGCTCTTCTCCTTCCATGTCTAATAGAGCTGGAGGAAGGATCACCTTAATGCTGATTTCTTCTTCCAAGGGTTGGGAGGGGGAAGTGCCCCCAGCCATCCTATGAGTGGGAGGTACATGTGGGTTGTTTGTGACTTTTCCTTGGCAGAGCCATGACAAAGCCCTTCATTGGGAGTGGCCAAGCAGTCAGAGCTGGAGAGAGGGACTGATAGGCAGTGGAAGGGTGCAGGCATCAGCTGTGCCTCATCAACAGGGAAGCCATCAAAAAAATTTAAGGCTGCCCATGGAAAGGAAGAGGAGAGCTTCCTCCCATGCAAGAGGAGATTGCAAAACTGAAGCTGGATTGTCTCCTTTATGTCCTCCCCCCAACCTCCTCATCCCACACCCTTCTCCCTTTGAAGGTTAGAGGAACAAAACTGGAAAGGTGCTGCCACTGAAAGAATTTTATTCTGTACAGGGTCTGTACCATCACCAGCAACTTCCTCTTCTCTTCACTCTATTAACAAGAGGAGAACAAACATCAGCCACTTCCCCGGGTTCTTTCTACAGGATGCCCTAAGCGCTCTATGAAATCACTCCCACCTCCCTCAGCAGAACCCACTTAATCCTTTCCCAGCAGGCTTGATGCTGCTAGCATAACACACTGGTTTTTGGTGGGGAATAATGGCAGGCTCAGACCTGCACTGTCTCCAGCATGGAATCATAAACTTAACACTTCCTACCACAGACAGCAAGAAAATGTCATTCACCTGGATGTGCAAATCTCCCTTGCCCACAGAGACAAGTAAACTGACTTCAAACGCTTGCACCTTTCCGAGGGCCGGGTGGGCAGTGATGCTGGAGGAATGGTTACTGGGCGCAGTCAGAATTGGAACAGGATGGATCAGGGAATGAGTCATGGGCAGTGCTGGGTTTACAATGGCTCCATGAAGCCAGGCCCATGCTCAGAAGGAGCCCCGGCTTGCTCCATTTGCTCTACGCCCCAAGACCCCGCTGGCTCCCCCCGCCCACCACTTGCTCCTCTCGACCTGCCTGCTGGCCAGCCAAGGGCTCCTCTCCACTCCCTGGTCCCACCCCACCGCTCCTCTCAGCCTCCTGGCCAGACCCCAGTGCACCTCCGGCTCTGAGCAGTCTCTGCTTCCCACCACCTGTGGGGCTCCACCGGTCTCCCTGGAGCTGAGCTGCTTGGGAATCACAGAATCATAGAATATCAGGGTTGGAAGGGACCTCAGGAGGTCATCTAGTCCAACCCCCTGCTCAAAGCAGGACCAATCCCCAACTAAATCATCCCAGCCAGGGCTTTGTCAAGCCTGACCTTAAAAACTTCTAAGGAAGGAGATTCCACCACCTCCCTAGGTAACGCATTCCAGTGTTTCACCACCCTCCTAGTGAAAAAGTTTTTCCTAATATCCAACCTAAACCTCCCCCACTGCAACCTGAGACCATTACTCCTTGTTCTGTCATCTTCTACCACTGAGAACAGTCTAGAACCATCCTCTTTGGAACCCCCTGACAGGTAGTTGAAAGCAGCTATCAAATCCCCCCTCATTCTTCTCTTCTGCAGACTAAACAATCCCAGCTCCCTCAGCCTCTCCTCATAAGTCATGTGTTCCAGACCCCTAATCATTTTTGTTGCCCTTCGCTGGACTCTTTCCAGTTTATCCACATCCTTCTTGTAGTGTGGGGCCCAAAACTGGACACAGTCCTCCAGATGAGGCCTCACCAGTGTTGAATAGAGGGGAACGATCACGTCCGTCGATCTGCTGGCAATGCCCCTACTTATACATCCCAAAATGCCATTGGCCTTCTTGGCAACAAGGGCACACTGTTGACTCATATCCAGCTTCTCGTCCACTGTAACCCCTAGGTCCTTTTCCGCAGAACTGCTGCCTAGCCATTCGGTCCCTAGTCTGTAGCGGTGCATTGGATTCTTCCGTCCTAAGTGCAGGACCCTGCACTTGTCCTTGTTGAACCTCATCAGATTTCTTTTGGCCCAATCCTCCAATTTGTCTAGGTCCCTCTGTATCCTATCCCTGCCCTCCAGCGTATCTACCACTCCTCCTAGTTTAGTATCATCCGCAAATTTGCTGAGGATGCAATCCACACCATCCTCCAGATCATTTATGAAGATATTGAACAAAACCGGCCCCAGGACCGACCCCTGGGGCACTCCACTTGATACCGGCTGCCAACTGGACATGGAGCCATTGATCACTACCCGTTGAGCCCGGCGATCTAGCCAACTTTCTACCCACCGTATAGGGACTGGTGCAGAAGCCTGGCCAGTCTCAGCCGGGTGTGCGTGTGTTGGGGGGCACAGAGTGGAGGGCTTGGCTGGGCCCCTCCAGGCAAGTGCGTCTTGAGGGACCCTGGCCGGGGCAGGGCTTGGGGGAGTGGGTCTGTGGGGAGTATAAGGGGTTGCTGGGCTGTGAAAGGGTGGCCCCTCTGGGAGCCCCTGGCTCGGGCTGGCGCCTTATTCCCCCTGCCCAGCCGCAGGGGGGCGCCCAGGAGCGCAGACGCCTGCCGCGGGCGGGAGGAGGCACCTCGTTCCCCTCCCGCGGGGTCTCTGCCCCTTTAAAGGGCGGGGCGCGTTGTGGCGAGGTTTGTCCATTCCCGGCCGCCGTTCTCCGCTCTCCCTCCCGCCCCTCCCCCGTCGCCGTCCGCCATATTGTGGCCGCCGCAGCTCGAGCCGGAGCCTGGTGACGAGCCGCCGGAGCCGGAGATGGGTGAGGAGGCCGCTGCGGTCCCTCTGCGCCCTGCGGGGGGCGGCGCCCACGGGGGGAGGCTCCAGCCGGGCGGGTCCGGCCGCCCCTGCCCGTCCCGGGGCCCGCTCGGCGGTCTCGGACACGGTGCCCATCACCCTGGTATCCGAGCGCCGGGTCCGCGCGCCGGGCCCCTGGGGTGGGGTCAGTTCCCCCCCCGCCCCCCGAGTGTGTCTGGGGTCAGCCGGCCCCTTGGTGCCCTGCCCCCCTCAGCTCCTGCGCGGGGGGATCTGGCTCGAGGGGGCGGGGTCTGACCCCCTGCGGCCGCGGGGCGCTTCCTGCCCGCCCCTGTGCCCCCTTCTGTCCCCCCGGGTTTAGGGGCGTGTCTGCCCCCCCCCCCCGCGTTTCCTGGCTCCCGGCGGGGCCTGGCGTCGCGGGGCGGCGTGTCCGGGGGCCGGCCGTGGGGCCTGAGTCCCTGATGGGCGGGGCGGCGCTGGCGATGCGGGAGGGGGAGCCCAGGGCCGCTCTGGAGGCGCGTCTGCTTATTCATTCCGCGCGCGGGTTGCTTGGCACTCCGCCGCCCCCCCCCCCTGCCCGCCCCCCCCCCGCTTGTTCTGTCTCTGGGTGACAGTGGCACCCCCGCCATGGCGAAGCAGCGCCCCGCGTGCATGAATGCCCGGTGGGGGGGGGGGAGCCGGGGCCCTTGGCTTGGGTGCAGTTTAAGGGGGTGTCCGTTGCTGCAGCCTGCTCTGTGGGAGAGGCACAAAACCCCCTTGACCTTCCACATCATAGGGGTTTGTCCCAGTGTCCTAGCGAAAATTTCCCCACCCTTCACTTTTCTTTTAACTGGTCTGTTGGCTGACTTCTTCCACCCCAGAAGCGGTAGCATTTCAGAGGTACTGTCCTTTTCATCCAGAAAGGAAGGTGCTCTGTTACGCTTTGAATGTTGCATGGGAAAGAGTATTTTGTTGGGCTTCTTTATCAGCAATACTTGGAAGCGAGAAACAGACCACCACAGTCATTTTGCTGGTACCCAAAAATCATTGCAGCAATAGGATAGTTTGCAAATCATGGGCCTATTCACCTGGCTGTCAGGCTGGTATGCCAGCCATAAAAATGCACAGGGTGGGGAGGAATTGCTTTATCTCTTGACTTACAAAATGTGCTTACCTAACCAGCTTTTTGGAGCTGGGCATTGTCTGTTGGCATGTCTGGGAAGCACCTAGCATACTGTGGCCTCTGTCTAAATAATGGCTGGTGTATGTATGAAGATTAAAACATAAGCTACTCACTATCTGCTACTTTCTGCAAAATGCTGCTAACCATCCCTTCCCCTCTTTCATTGCATAGATAAGTCTTATACACTTCCTGAAGGTCAGTGAACCAATTCTTCCTAATACAAGGCACCCTAGCTGTGTGGTAAAAAACAAACACACACACCACACACAAAGTCCAGTTCTGAGGCAAAACTTTCACTGTGTATGTGGGATCAGTCTAGGACTGTTTCCTAGTGACTTAGTAGGGGAGATCCTGAGGAAGCCAGGAATGAGACTTAAAAATGCTTCTCTGTTCTGCAGATCTATTTAATCTTTTAGAGAGAAGCAGGCTGCTGAGCAGGGGCCTGTATAGCTTGCACATCTGCACAGACGTTGGGTTGGTTTGGTGCTCTGTCCTTGGTTTCAAGCTAACTAGCAACAGCTGTTGGAATGTGAGCGTTGCTTACAGGTTTCTAGCATTGTTCTCTGAGCAGTATGAAGAGGAATTACTTGTCTGAGAGCTTAACTATATAGCTGACCTCTCCTGCCTCTAAGTACTGGTTATATAGTACTGCTATATTATTCTTGGGTTGGGGCAGGGGAAGCCCTGTTCTGCCTTTAAGGAAACTATGCCAGAAACCTTCCAGCAGCAACAATGTTCAAATGCAGCTGTTGCTAGCAAATCTTCATTCACAGTGTGAATATGGTCTAGTGTCGGGTCTCTCATTAATCAGCGTGTATCTAGGGATCCTGGACTGCTTTACATTTTAAGCTTCATAGAAGGTGAAGATTAGATTAGCAGAGGATTGTACAGAATGGACTGCCGTGGTTGTGAACCTCCGGTAATGGAGATGCCACGTAAGAAGGTGATTGGAGAAAACTGAGCTGTCCCTAGGGGCCTGTTTTCCTTGCCGTGTTAGGGAATTAAAGTTTTGCAGGATGGTGCCGCAGTCATGTTAAACATATCTGGGTCTTCCATGGGTAGCCAAGACCAAACTGTTGTAACACCACTCTATTAAAATGGTTAAGACTGTGTTTTAAACACTTGATTAGAGTGCTGCTCCGATCCTGACTTAGGTTAAAATAAAATCCTATTTAACTGTAACTACTCTTTTTTAATGTTATATGTAGTCCACAGTGGTGGTAGACGAGTACAGTGACTTTCTCAGATCTATAGGCAGCAGCAACAACACTTCCATAGCTTTGCTTTAGGAAACTGCAGTCCTATAGTTCAAGTGCTGGTCATGGACTTCACAAACTTTATTTGACTCTTCTGTCTACAGCAGACTAGGCTGTCTTCTGGTGTTGTGTAGAGAATGAGAGGAAACTCTCATAGCTAGGCTATTGTCTAGGCCTAAGCAGTGTAGTAAATATTATGGTTTATAGCTATAGCAAACACATCTACAAACAAATGACAACTGAACATTGCCTTTCAGAGGCTATTTCAGTAGCATCCTGAGAAGCTCTGATCTTCTCTCATTGGTCCTGAAATGAAGACTTCCTACCCAGAAAAATGCGAGACTCTGTTTTCTTAGGTTTTAACTAGCAGGGCATGGTTTGAATTGGGGGGGGGAGAAAGAAAGAAAACTATACGACAGACTAAAGATTCTTTTGTAAAAGCAAGGACTAGCTTCTTGTTGAAGTTGACTGATATTGTCTAGTAAGCCAGCTCTAGTTAAATGCTCTTCATGCTGTGATACAACCAGCACACCATGACCTTGCCACAAGCTTTTACTTCACCTCCAAATACCTCTTTTGTGGCACACCCCAAAAATCCTACTTAAGGTGGCCACAAGTCTGGGAAGGAGATGGTTAAAGATGTTCTAGACTGTGCAATTCTATAAGGACTCATGATAGAGCTTGGAATGTAAAATCCTGACCAGAGAATTAGATATTTGATTTTATAAAAATCATAGTAAAGTGTCCGATGGCCTGAACAATTAATTTTCAAAAAATATTTTCTCAATCTAAAATTAATGGTTTATTCCAAAGATCACTTTCCCTTCCCCTTAATGTCTGTCTCTTATTTTAAAGAGACATACAGTTTTGTGACAATTATTTAATTCAAAAAAGACCATTCATTAAAATCCCACACTGATAGAATGTTAAGGTAGCATGGCATGCTGAGACTGGACAACGGGGGATGGATCACTCAATAATTGCCCTGCCTTGTTTGTTCCCTCTGAAGCCTCTGGCACTGGCTGATCAGAAGATAAGATACTGGGTTGGATGGGCTGCTGGTCTGACCCAGTATGGCTGTTCGGAAGTTTCTGACTTTTGAGCACTTAAGAATATACAAAGTTGAGGTGCAGATGGTGTTAACTCTGTCTCTTTATGTATCTATTAACAATAGGCCAATGATTTGACCATATATGTTTGTCAAATTCAGTATTACTCTAATATGTGTAGTGTTAGAGAAGAGCTCCGAAGCAGGTGTCCATTCATTCACTGTGCAACTTGGGCATATAAATGATGATGTTGGACTGTTTATCTAGCATACCAAGTAGCACCAAGTGTTGGTACGAAGACAATACTGTTTGGGTCCCCAAGTTGGCAAGTTTAAGTAGTTAGGTGGCTACTTTAGCTTGATTGTGCATATTGGTCTGGATGCAGTGAGCATGTATTTAGTATTGGGATAATTGAATGTGCATTAAAATAGTTAGTATAATAAAGGTTGGGGAATTAATACCCCCATTACCTACAGTTAAAAAGTAGTGTTTTTTTTTAATTTCTATACAAGTAAGCTTGACGTGCACCTAAAAATCTCTTATTGGAAAAAAATATACAATACTATCTGACTCTTAACAAAGAGCACATGTTAGCAAAGATGGGAATGCCAGGATTTTATATACCTCATTGCCTTGAAACTCATCTTGCAAGAAGGCTATCTGGAATGGTGCAATTGTCATGAGTATTTCAAACACTGAGTTTAACTGTTTGACTTAGTCAAATGCCTAATCCTCTTGTTTAAGCACTTAGCTGTGGCAATATTACACATTGTAGATTTTCAACTCCGTCTATGCTGGGGAACTGCCCATAACATATAAGGAGAACTGCACTTACTCAGGTGAGACGGCTGCTGAAAACTTTAGAATCTTGGTTGGGGATGGCTTGCAAGCAGAACTGAAGCTGGAAAGTGTTTTTGGCAGTCAGCTGAGGAATGGATGGATACCTTTACATGGAGATATGGGGAGAATAAATGCAGTCTTAACAGGATTGAATTTAGTGAAAAACCAATATAACAAGTGACTGCTGATTCCCCAGAAAAAAATCTTTACTTTTCCCCCCTCTCTAAGCAGCCAGCTCCATGAGTAGACTGGCTGCATGTTCCAGTAATGATGTCACATCACTAGCTCTTGGTAGCTAAAACGGAAGGGAATGAGCCAATGGTGACTGGTGCACCAGACAGCCAAAAGAACTGCGTGGATAAGCGTTTTACTAGCACAGAATGTACTGTGTGCAAAGCACACAGCTATGTTAAGACAGTTCTCGGCATTCACTGTATTTGTTTTTATTTGTGTTAAACATTCAGGAATATGTTCAAATACCTACTTTGAGAAAATGTAAAGGTTGCACAGTCAAACGTTTAACACAGAAAATACCCTAGCTAAAAGAACATTCTTAAGTTGTACTCTTGGCAGAACCTTTTCCCTATAAGTGTTTACAAGTAACACTTAAAAATAGTGCAACTAAAATCAGAACGAATATTTTCAGTTTAATCTGTGCATTTGATAGTACTTTCCAGTAGTCGACTTCACTCCTTTGTGTCTTCCACTAGGGGACAAGGACAACTTGAAAAAGTCACAGTAAAACTGCACAAATTAGCAAGGGGACTGAATGGCAGGTGCAATACAAGAAACCACTTTTAACTAGTTATTAACTAGACTTCAAGTTGTTGCTGTCCTTTTAAGGTTTATATGCAACACTGACTCAACCCCTTTGTGCACATGCATTACGACAACTAAAATACAACTTAGTTTTTTTCTAAAATTGTAAACATCCTGCAAATTCTCTTGGTTTCGTTATGAGCCTTTCAAGAAGGGAGTTCCTAAGACAAATGTTGACAGGTCCTTATCTGTAGCTGCTGCTGGTAAACCTGTTTGTGGAGGAATCTCTTTGCCAGCTTGTAAAGCAAGAGACTGTTCTGTAGAAGCTAAACTCCTTTTTAATTATTTTAAGAAGGACACTATCCATTTGAATTCTTTAAAAGAATTGTTCAGAATCCACTTCGATAGTACACCCTTTAAAATAGTGTCCCGAATTTTACAAGGGTTATTGTTTCTGTTCCCCATTAAGATTAGTCTCCCTTCAACAAGGGAGAAACTGACTATAGAAGAAGCATTGAAAGGCCATATACAATGTGCTGTCAATTACACAAAGTAAGCTGAAAGAAACCATCTTTTTGCTAATTTATGTCAGTTACAGTAATATCTGGTAGATACAAAATTTTTCCACCTGTGGTTTTCAAATTGAATGTGTTTCTTTAAACTTTCTAACATAGTGGCTAGGTTGAAGGATGGAAGAAAGGGGAGAAGGATTAAAATGAAATTCCAAAATACTTCAGGAATACCTGTTGCTGTTTCATTATCTCCATAACATTGAATGGTTTAGTTTTCTAATTGAATGTGACAATTTTTCTGCCACTTCCTAGCAGGAGGTTGGTAATATAGTTTGTGATGAAGGAAGTGCCAATTAGCAGATGAATGCAGAAGAGAGGCTGGAGACTTTCATTTATACTATGTTAGTTTATTTAGTAGAAAATTGTATTCAAAACTTTTGCACATTCATAACTCCTTCCATTCAAGGATCTCAAAGCACTTTATGAATATTAATGAGTTAATCCTAGCAACCTTGTAGGTGCTGTATAAATCCAAAGTAGTATCTGATGAAACAGCAGGGCATACTACTCACACTGAAGCAGGTTTCCATGATCTAACATGATACTTGCACACACATCAGTCACTTAAGATTTTCATGACTAGTCCAAACATTGTATGGTGGTGATCCACTTCATTGGTTTTTTTTTTTCCTGTCTGGGTTTCCAGCATCATTAAATAGCCATTAATTCATCTTTCTAACCCATGAAATGCTCATCTCTTTGGGATGAAGGGGGTGTGTATTCTGTAGTAGGTTTGCTTGATTTTTAAACCTAAGCCATTCCTTCAGAGCACAGTCTGTGGAAGGGCAAGCATTTCATTGGAAACAATCCCTTCAAAGAAAGGAACCTACTGAGTTTGTCACCCTAGTAATTATTAAAATTGATCTGTTTCCTGTTCAGTGTATGTGGGCCTGTTGACCTCCTTGAAGATCGTTGTGTAATTAGCTGAAAATATGTTGATTCCTTATCTGCTGCAGGCAGCTGTTCGGGATTCTGCAAAATGAAACTGGGCTTGGAAGACTAACTTCTCAACAGAAGTAAAAACTTCTGAGAAATGGGGAAGGAAACTTTTTTTCCATTGAAGCTTGCAGAGCTTGATAATTGGTCCTTGAGATGCACATGCAGTGCAGTCAATTTGTATGTGTCTGCGGGCAAATACGTGCCAAGCTGTATTGTAAAGTCTTGGCCACCCTATAATGAAACTCTGCTAGCCACACACACAGTGTTTGTGTATATATAGCCATTATAAGACAGATCCTAAGTTTAGAGGTGAATGATATTGTAAATCAGGTGTCTAGTCCACTGACTTGCCTATTAGTGCTGCCCTTTGTACTATAGTTTCAATTCAGCAGTACTTTATTGGCATGACAAATCAGGTAAATGTTGACAACATATAAAGGACCTTAGGTATCTGTCAGAGGTAGGTATGAATTGTGTTCTGTGCTTTATCTTGTGTGCCTTTGTTATTACTATTTCTGCTCCAGAGACAAGGTGAGAATCTAGCACTAGGCTATCTCTGCCATCTTTCTCCTTTCTTCCAGGCCTGGGTACAGGTTCCACACCCTGCTGCCCTCCCCCTTGCTGTTTGGTGGAAAGTTTTATTATTCTTGATAACTTGAGTATTGGTCTCCCTGGTTGTGTTAGTAGGCAAGTCTTCTAGAGGTCAGGTTGGGGCTTTTGGTTGCTGTGAGATTGTCACATCCTAACATCTGATATTGTTGATAAAGTAAGAGGAGGAAACTGTGTTAATCGCACTTCATCTAGGTTTGAAGTGTTGAATTGAAATGCTCCAAAACCAGACACATGGATTCACCCAGGTTGTTTTCCATGCTGTGGTTTGGGGCCCCTCTGATTTCATAATATAGGAAGAGTTGTTCTCCCCCCCCCCCTTGGGAATGTTCACTGTCCTGAGCTCCTAGAAGGCAGCTACTCGTGTCCTCCCAGATGGATAAACTGAGTTCAGTGCAGCTTACAGTACTAGGATCTCTTAGATGATGTCAGCCCCTGTCTGTTCTGGATGGCCATATAAAGATCAGACTTGTAAGGAGGCAGAGGGAAGGGACTGTCCCTTGTTCCACTGTTGTGTTCTGGGCAGCTTGACTAGTGCCTTGTTTCCCAGAGATGGCCATGTTTGTGGTGCTGTAGCCTTGTACTCTGAAGTGCCCTGGGATGGACAGAGCTATGGATGTGTACAGTATTGTTTGGGGGGAGAAGTATTTTGATGTTTAAGTGTGACTCTTTTTGAAAACCCCAAACATCTGACAACTTGCCTTCTCAAGGATGCTGTGTGTTCAGAGATATGCAAAACATGAGCGTAAAGTGTCTCCTGCTCACTTTCCCCACTGCTCACCCACTCCATCACTGTAAGTCACAGGTCTGTAGTGAGGGAAATCTGAGGGGAATTGATGCAAACTACAGGGTGGCTTTTGTTAGACCCCGGCAAGTTAGTCATCCCAACAAAACTGTTTCAATGTGTCAGGTCAATAAAATACCAGGAGACTGAGGTCAGCAGTGACCAGGCATTCCTTTCAGCTGTGGGTTTTATGAGAGTAAGGAAGGGCTACAATGCAGTAGGAGCACTTGTGTGCAAGCTCTGAGCTGAGAAACAGGGAGGTAGGTCAGAAATTTTGAGTGGTTCCGTGTAACTTGCAGACAAATCTCAGAAAGGGAGGAACTCGCTCAACTAAGATGAGGAAGATATAACTAAAACAAAGAACATAGTAAGTGCCAAGTCCATTCAGCCAATCTCCGTTATTAGTCAATGAATTTTTCTGGTATTTGTCAAATAACTTATTTGGTGCCATTTCAGGGTAACTGACCAGCTTCACAGCTGGTCAGTACTGTTCAGCAAATATGTTAGATTTATACCAGTGAAATTCATCAAATGAATTTCTTTACTGCAGTTGTAGAAGTCGAATACATTTTTTAAAAAAATGGTATTAACTAAGCTGATGATGCTACAGTTGAATACAGCATATAATAAACTTGACACAACTGTTCTGTTCTTTCTAAATCTGAAGATGTAGCTTCTTGTGGTGGGGGTGTGGTGGCACGTGTCTATTTCACCCTGGTTATTAGGCTGTCTGAGACAGTAGGTGTCAGGTGTGGTTTCCCCCTGTCCAGCAGCACAACTGCTCTCATATTCCATTTTAGTTATAGAAACTTTTTTCCAAAGCTGCTTTTGTGAAAGGGTGTTTGGGCTAAAAAAAATCCATGTTAAATTTGCTAATGTAATTGTTTCCCCTTTCTGTCTGCTTTTGCTTCTGACTCGGCAGCCCAAGTCCTGATTTAGCCATGTGAGTCCCTGCAATGACTCAGCTAGGAGGCTTTTAACCAGCTGCCAAAAGGGAAACTATTTGAAGCAGGCATGTTCTGTAATGCAGGGGGTGAGAGAATAAAAGCCTGAAAATTCCTAGTTGGGTTTCTGGTCCAGCAGCCCTAGACTGTCTCACAGGAGATTTGTAATGACCGCAGATGAGTCGAGCAGGAGAATAGATTGTAGCCGTGTTGGTCTGCATCCAGATGCTTTTGAGGGGTCAGAATGAACAGTCATTAGACCAACGTTGCATAAAAATTTCAGGGATTCTCCTTTATTTTAGTTTAAATTGTTAAAATTATTTACCCCTAGTACTAGTTTATGATTAGGGTTGGGGTGTTTGGGGGATACGGAGAGAGATGAGCTGCTCTTCTAAAATTGCAACAGCACATTTTAAATTAGCTTTACAGAGCCTCAACGGGACCTAAATCAATGACTTTTTAAAAAGTAAAACAAATTATTTAAATCCTTCTTCCCT